GGCAACCGCAGCTGGGCGCCGGGGGACGACGGCGCCGCGGCCGGCAACGGCACCTCGCTGAGCCCGGCCCTGGCGCTGCCGGCCGTGGGGCTGGGGGTCTTCCTGGCGCTCTTCGTCCTCTCGGCCATCGTGGGCAACATCCTGGTGATCCTGTCGGTGGCCTGCAACCGGCACCTGCAGACGGTGACCAACTACTTCATCGTCAACTTGGCCATCGCCGACCTGCTGCTCAGCACCACGGTGCTGCCCTTCTCGGCCACCCTGGAGGTGCTGGGCTTCTGGGTCTTCGGGCGCGTCTTCTGCAACATCTGGGCGGCGGTGGACGTGCTGTGCTGCTCGGCCTCCATCATGAGCCTCTGCATCATCTCGGTGGACCGCTACATTGGCGTCAAGTACTCGCTCAAGTACCCGGCCATCATGACCGAGAGGAAAGCGGGCGTCATCCTGGTGGTGGTGTGGCTCTCCTCCATGGTCATCTCCATCGGGCCGCTGCTGGGCTGGAAGGAGCCCCCGCCGCCCGACGAGAGCATCTGCAGCATCACGGAGGAGCCGGGCTATGCCCTCTTCTCCTCCCTCTTCTCCTTCTACCTGCCCCTGGCCGTCATCCTGGTGATGTACTTCAGGATCTACGTGGTGGCCCGGCGGACCACCAAGAGCCTGGAAGCCGGGGTCAAGAAGGAGCGGAGCAAGTCCATGGAGGTGGTGCTGAGGATCCACTGCCGGAGCGTGCTGGAGGATTCCCTCTCCAGCGCCAGGAACAAGGGGCACAACCTCCGGAGCTCGCTCTCGGTGCGCCTGCTCAAGTTCTCCCGCGAGAAGAAGGCGGCCAAGACCCTGGCTATTGTGGTGGGAGTCTTCATCCTCTGCTGGTTCCCTTTCTTTTTCGTCCTGCCCTTCGGTAAGTGAATCCCGCCCCCCAAGCCCCCGTGGTCCTGTGCCCACTGTGTCTGATCCCCACCTGAGAGAAGTATCCCCCCCTTCCCACCCTTATCTGTTGAGGCCCACCATGAGCCAACTTTCCGGGCTCGCACGGCGAGGTTGGGGGACGGGGCCCTTCTGCAATCTGGAGCTAAAATCAGCCAGCTCCAAACTTCACAGTACGTGGAAACAGAGTTGCTGCAGGCTCCTGCCAGCCATCCTGGAGCCTTTCCGTTACGCCCACCACGAAGGCACTACTTTCTATCACAAATGGACTTCGTGGTGTAGAGAAGGAACACAAAAATGCCACCCGCTTGCTGCTACAGGCTTTCCGAGCTGCCCGGAAAGAGCAGGAGGGTTTGGCCAGGCGCGCTGAAGTTCAGGCGCAGGCAGGCACATGCAGAGACCGAATCCGGATGCTTCATTTGCACCGCGAGTGGCAAGGCTTTGGTATTCGCTCCCTCTCTCCACTGTTTCCGTGCTGTGGGCTGTCTGAGTTGCTCGTGCCCCTGCGACTCAGGCTCCCCACGGGCAGCCCCTCACAACCCTCAGAGCTGCCGATGGAAAAAGGGCCCGATCCAAAGCTGACGGAAGTTAATGGAAAGACTCTTGTTGGCTTTGACGGGCTTTGGAGCAGGCATCACCTTTGCAAGTAGAGAGGCCATCTTTTGAGTGTGGCTGTAAAAGTGACAGTAGGGTTTGGGGCTAAACCCCTGGCCTGGGCAGCCCATGTGTTATATCGGGGATAGGTATGGGAAGCCTCAAGCAGGGAAGCCTCTTTCTGCCTTGACTCCTACCAGTGTGTGTGCTGCTCCTCAGTGAGGGAAATCCCTGTTCTGCCTTCACCCCCTGGAGACCCTGTGAAGCTGCCCGGTTTCAGGTGCTGTTGGCTCAGCTGTCCTCTGCTCAGTGCCTGGGTCCTAGCACTCAGTCTGCTGGCAGTTTGAGCTGATGCATCAGGAGAGTTATTTAACTTCCCTGGGCTTCGGGGTGTCTGTGTGTAAGAGGCATGCAGTCCTCACCTACCTCCCAGAGAGGGGACCAATGCCGGGCGCGCTCTGAGATGCTGTACAGGACAGAGCTGCGGTAGGATACGTATTGCCCCCTCCCCATCCCCTTGGCAAATCTTCCCAGCTTTTATTCTGAGTGTTAAAATCTTGCTGCCAGTGTTTCTCTAGCATAGTCGGAGCAGTCTCTGTCCTGCTGGGAGCCAGAGCTGCCGGCTCCACACTCAGCTTTTAGCACGTTGCTTAGATGGATTTTACCCTTGGAGCAGCCCAAGCCGTCTGCAAAGTAAAGGCAGCTTGAGACCCCCCCGGCTGTCTCTCCTGCCTCCCCCTGCAAACAGAAGTACTGTAACAGGCCAGGCTCTCAGTGGTTGTAAATCAGCATGGCTCAGCATAGTCTCTTATGTATGCCCCCCTTTTGCGAGCCGTCCTTCTCCAACCACAGCCCACGCACGCAACTCAGGAAAGGAAACCACTTTAGAGAAATCCTATAGCCCAGGACATTTCAAAGCCATCTCATGCCCTCCGTTACTGCTGCAGGGATGCCTGCGGGGTCAGGCAGTGGGCAGAATGCATCTTTTTGACGCTATCCGTGCTACTTTTTTTTCCCCCTCCATCCTGTCGTCATCTGACCCTACAGGGAGGTGCCAAGGCATCCGAGGCTCTGCCTGTCAGATCTAGGATACAGCACGTTGATTTGGAGTCAGATTTTTTTTTCCCAGCGATGTTGTCATTGCCTCTTAGAGGGGCTGAAGCAGCCAGATGCACTCGGTGCATCAGGGAAAGCCAGCACGGCCGGGGACGGTGCGACTCGGTCTGATCAGCAGTTC